CTTTATATTTTTCATTCACATCTTTTTCACTGCCAGCTTGTGATTTCTGTATTATATTCTTCAACTGTGTGTTGTGGGCTTCGAGCTGGATTATTTTGGCTATCAGATCCTGTGAAAGGAAAAATAACTGGATAATTTATTTTAGAATATAAACAAAACCTTAAGTGAGTATTTTATTACGAGAACAACATTTATTTTATAATTAAATGATAATCAACGAATCAATAAAGAAATTGTATTAATATATATGTATATATATATATATATATATATATATATATATATAAATAAATAAGTATGTAAATATAAAAGATAACCTATAAAAATTATAACATTGTACAAACCGAAACAAAAACCTTAAAATTTTAAAGTATAACGATAATGCAAAACCTTATACTATTTAAACAAAACTGTCTTACTATTTAAAGTTACAAGTACTTTTTTATTACTATTATTATTAATAATTGTTTATTTCTAAGTGTAATATATATTTTGTATATCACAGTCGAAGGAAAGTGGCTGGTCGATGAAAGATTGTACAAAGTATTTATACATACCATATATTTTAATTATTCAAATGATTGACATTAAATAATGCCAATACTGATGCAATATAAAGAAAGTAACAAAGAATGTATTTAAATGATTGACAAATAACGAAATTGTGATAGTATATATAGACAAGATAAAAACTAAAACTTAAAATTGTCAAAAATGTCAAGAAAACCAATTGTGTTACTGCTATATATTTAAATATTTAAAACATAATTTTTAGTATAATATACCTTCAATTCTGTAATTTATGATAATGGTAATTAACCCTAACTGTGATGTTTGCAAAAAAAATATTATAGGTTAGAATTCAAAAGACTTTAAAAATATCAATAATTTAAAATTATTTACCCACAAAACCTATTTATTATGAGCACAAATAATGTATCTCTCACCAAAAAACTGTATTTAATTGCTAAACCACGTCATTATTATAAATATTCACACATAAGTTGTATAAAAATTTATTCTTACAATTGCATATTTATTACCTCTTTGTCAAGTTTTTGTAAATCGTCAACTTGTGTTTTCTTGTTATTTTTAGTCAACACTACGTTAGCCATAACTAAACTATAAATTACTAGTAATATATTATTTTAATTGAATAAATATTAATATATTAATTTTACATTTTTGAGGTTATGTATCCTTTTGTGTTCAACACATAATAAATGTCATTTTTTAACTGCGGGAAAGTTCACTGTCAATGTCAATGCCATGAAGTTAGAAGCGCGCGAAGAAAATGAAGTACCGCGAAATTCAAATCATTGGTAAAAGACATTGATGACTTCAAGAATTGTTTTTATAAGCGGATAAATTCGGAAAATGTAATAAAAACTAGTGGAATTAATAAAAAATCAGTGAAAATGAGCTAATGAAGTAATAAAATCAATATAGTTCAGCATATTTAGGAAAATAGCAATAATATAAATCAAAATTAGTTAAAACCATTTAAATTTCATATAAATCCACAGAAACGCATAAATCTATTCACAAAATATATTATAATATTAAAAAACTTACCTGTAATATTTTTGGATTAATTCTTTATTACCCATTCATGTTTGCTTGTCTTCAAACTTATCATTTGATTCATCTCGAATAAATACATCAATTTTGATTACTTCTCTTGAATATTTTTTCATCCTCCAAAAGATATCGATAAATCTAATTAATACAGACTATAAATAAATTAAAATTAGTATTATTATAAATAAATTAAAATGTTTGTATTATATACTTAGATCTTTATTAATAAGTGTTATATAATTACAATATATAATTTAATATCTAACTTTGGATTTAATATAAACAATGTATACAAATATATGAGCTGTTTACATATATATATATATATATATATATATATATATATATATATGTATGTATGTATATATATCGACAGCTCATATTTTTCTTCGTTAACAATATTTTTAATTTACATGTGTGCTACTTAACTTCCTGAGGAAGACACCCATTTTTTTTTTAAATTTTAGGTATGTAGTTATATTTAAATATAAATACTTCGATTGTGTGTTCGTATAAAAATAATTCATAAGTAGAGTTATTCGATTGATTGAATCGAAGAGCAAGAACTGGTAAATAGAAGGATAAATTTGTAAATATTAAATGAAATTAAAATATTTAAAAAATTGTCAGTAAAGTTCTTTTTCTTTTATGTTTTAAGTAAATGAATTAAAATATTTAGGAAAATTGGTTTTAGAAAATATTATATTTCATAAAGACGAAGTTATATTTTGGTCAATTTTTATAAATTAAAGCAAAAGTTGAATAAAGTAAATAAAATTTTTATAAATAGTTAAAAGTGTTAGCAATTTAATAAAAATTATCTTGATTCTTAATTAATTTAAATGCAAAAAATCTAAAACTAAAACAACTACATCAATTATTTTGCAAATTAAGTAGGTTTAATTTAAATTTGATTAAAATTCGATGAAAATTTATTAAAAATTCATTAAACATGGACAAAAGTTTATGAACATAAATTTGTTTTATAAATATAAATTCAGTATAATTCGTAATTACAAAAATTATCAAAAAACAACAAGAAATCAATGAATTTATTAAAGATTGATGAAAATTTACAAAAAAAATCATTTGCTATCGATAAAATTTGAATAAAAATGACAAAAAGCTGATTTAAACGTTGAAAATTCATTAAATCAATAAAAAAAATTAAAATGTGATGATAATTCAACAAAAATGCATTTAAGACAGACAAAAGATTGAATAAAAATGACAAAAAACTAATTTAAAGATTATAAATTCATTGAATCGCCTAAAAAATTAAAGAATTTATTAAATATTAATGAAAATTTCACAAATATTCATTTAAGATCGAAAAAATTTAATAAAAACGATAATGGGCTAATTTATAATATTTAATAAATTCATTGAATCGACTAGAAAAATAATGAATTTATCGAAGTTTGATGAAAATGTATCAAAAATGCATTTAAGATCGACAAAAATTAATTAAAATTAACGAAAAACTACAAAAATTGAATAAAATGGTCAAGAAGCTAAAATAGACGTTAATAATTCATTAAAACGCATTTTAACAAAAGGAGAAAAATGTAATAAAAACGATAAGGATGAGCTAATTTAAATGTTATAATATTAAATCGTCAAAAAAATCAATGATTTTATTGAAGTTAAATGAAAATTTACCTAAATTTCATTGAAGATCGACAAAAATGCATTAGACATAACCAAAAGTTCCCAAAAACGTAAAAAATGCAAAAAAATTATTGCAAAAAGTAGAAAAACAAAAGTATATCAGTAGAAATATTAGCTTTAATTTGATAAATAAAAATTATGTATATATTAATAAAAAACAAAATTTATTGAATCGACCAAATTGAAAATTTCCGTAGGGTAAATTATTGTAATCGTCCAAAATTGAAAATTTTAACATTTCTTCACGTTTTGAAGGTTTCTGAACATTTTGGCATACTTAAAAAAAAAATGGATGTGCGTGTGTGTATGTGTGGACACAATTTTTCGTCGACGATTTTGGGCGTATGGATGAACCGATTTGAATAATTAAACAAAATAATCGATTCCCATTGATAGAGAGATATTGTGATTAGTTTTTGGCAAAGGCAAGTTTTGTTTATTTACTTTTTTATACAAAAATATGTAAACGACGTCGTCCAATTCATAAACTCTCATATTTTATCTATAAACTACGAATAATAAACGAAGTTACAGTACTTATAATAATCTATTTGAAAACATTTAATATTCTTCGAATATTTCGTTACGGTACGGGAAGTTCCAGCAGTTTACCTCAAAGCACGATGCCATACACCACTAGTTAATTAATTTTTATATACGGTCGTTAAAAACAAAAATAAAAATGAAATAAAATACTGAAGAATTCATTAAAATTCAACAAGAACGCATTGAAAATCGATGAAAATTTAACCGAAATAAAAAAATATTATAAACATTTAATATTACTCGAACATTTCGTTAGGGTACGGGAAGTTCCAGCAATTTGCCTTAAGGCACGATGCCATACACCACTAGTTAGTTGATTTTTTTTATATAGACATTAAAAATAAAAATAGAAATGAATTAACTTACTGGAGATTCATGAAAATTTAACAAAAATGCATTAAAATTCGACAGAAATTCATCAGAAATAATAAAAAGTTATTATAAACATTTAATGTTCCTTGAATATTTCGTTACGGTACGGGAAGTTCCAGCAATTTTCCTCAAGGCACGATGCCATACATCACTAGTTAATTAATGAATTTGAGAATTGAGAAAACTGGAAAGAAAGCATCCTAAAATTTATGAAGCAATTCTGCATCATGCTTGTTTCTTGGTAGTAAAACTGTGAAAATGTTTACTTAGTTGCTGTGCGATCAGGCGTATTTTACATATAAACAAAGCAAGGAAGAATCTTATGATTACTGCATCATCAAAGATTCTATTAACAAAAAAATCTACCTTGCTTGTTTATATTTTAAAATACGCCTGATCGCACAGCAAATAGATAGATTTTCACATATTCACTAACAAGCAACAAGCAACAAGCATAAAATAGCGTTGCCATGACAACGCTATTTTATACATTAGATAATAATCAAGACAGTTTCAGACAAATTAAGAAAAAACCATAAAAAATGTATAAAATCGACAAAACTAGGAACAAAAGTCCAAAAATTCGAAGGATTGACGATAATTCGATAAAAATTGATGAACATTTAATAAATGAGTAAGTTTATGGACCAATGTTATGGCAAGGCTATGTTATGAAGAACTTTCCATACTAATATTGACAAAAACCGTGCGGTTTCTGTGCAGTCAGGCGTATTTCTCAGGTTGTCAGATAGAAAACCTTAACTAGAAACCGCACAAATGTCAAATAAACTATTTTAGATAACAGGGTCTTTCTGACTCAGCTTCATAACACACGAGTGACGTTGCAGTTTACGTGTAAAACGCCTGAAAGCACATGATTCGGTAGCATAGTGTATGGAAGTTGAAGCGTAACATGGCCTTGCCATAACATTAGTCTGTTGGGAGAGAATCGGTCCATAAATTTACTCATTTATGAAATGTTCATCAGTTTTTATCAGTTAATGCGATTGGATTTTTGCGCTTTTGTTTTTCAGTTTTTTATGTATTTTCCTCCTTAATTTTTTTCACCAGTTCTTGCACCACATTAACAAATATCATAAAATTCTGCATATTATACAAACATAAGTAGTCACTAACTATTTTGATCCTCTTTCATATAAAATCTCAACAAGTCTCTCGAACACAAAAACAAACCAACATCAGCATTATTTTTTTTACCATTAATTGACTTAATTAAACAAATTCTTTCATATTACCTATTGAATACATATTAAATATGCATCGTAATAATTAGTCCATCATCAATTATGATTATGATCATCACTTACACAATAAAAATCGACTCTTGGTTCTGCAGCATGAAATCGGTAAATGCATTTATCGGTGCAATTGCCTGCAGTGACATTGTGCAGGTCTGATGACGAACCAGATTTGGCCCGAAAACAACTGCCAAGTTGGAGGAGGTCATCTTGTTCAGGTCGCACCTGTCCATCACCTGGGGAGGAAAGAATTCAGACTTGGTAAAAATAATTTACTAAAATTAGTCACTTTTGTGAATTAATTCTTAACTACTAGGCACAACTAGTGTGATATTTTCAAATAATCGAATTTTCAATTTTTCCATATTTCGATAGATTATACCTTTAAAAATAACATACCAAAATTTTAAATCGATATCTTAAATAGTTTTTGAGTTACATCCATTTAAAGAGTATATATATAGTATATAGTATAGCGATCATTTTGTCTTTAAACGCGTTTTTCTCAAAACAGCATTTTCCGAATTTGCTGCAGCGATTACTCAAAAACAAATAATCCGATCACTATCATTTTTTTTTACATGTTTTATATATAGTTTTCCGTAAAATAAACTATCGATTTTTTGATCGGATCAAAAATCGAATTTTGGCAGTCCAAAAACGACCAAAATTTTGGGTAAAATTCGACTTTTTTTAAAAAAATGCCATCATTTTGTCAATTTTTGATTTTTATTCTTTATCGTAGTTCATTTCACAGACAATATTATCTAGTTTACCGAGAATTTTTTTTTTTTAATTTCATCGACGTAGAAGGCCGGAACCACTGCAGCAGTGAAGGGCCTTTTTTTGGTCGCGCCGTAAATGATCGACGATAACATAAAAAACATTTAATTTTTTCTTCAAAAATGTTACTATGTATTCTTAAAACATGTATAAATATATTCCTAAAATTTTGAAATGATTGATAAAGTAGTTTTTTTAATATAAATTCCCAAATATCACCTTTTTTTTAAGCGGTTACACTAGTTGTGCCCCTTAAGACTCGGATGCCGACGCTCCGGCGGCAAAATCCATATAAATCTCGGAATTCGCGAGTGGAAAGGGTTGAATTAGTTTGTTTATGTAAATAGCATGGCATATGGATAGAATAACAAAAGAATAATGTATTTTGTGTTTGGGTAGATCATTTTATTGTGAGACAAATCAAGGCATATAGAGATGAATATTGTAGAGATGAATAATTAGAGACAATAAACGAGTGATTAAAGATGAGGTGTGTTAACAGATACGAACGATGTTAACAAGTTTAGAAATTTTTCCAATTTTACCAAGGCCTTTGGGTGTGATATATCCAAATTTCAAGGCTCTGAATTTAAATGCCTTTTAAATTTGGCAACACAAATTTTCTAAACTCATATTTGTCGTTTACTCAAACCTAATACTCTAGATTCAGATATAAGTGAATATTTACTAAATTATGTCAATTTTGTGAATTTAATTAGGCTAATATTTTTTAAATTTAGCCAAGGATTTGGGTATATTATATCCAAAATTTCAGGCTCTAAGTCTTTTAGATTCAACAACACGAATTTTCAAACCGAGACATGTACCTACGACTCTAGTTTTAGATATAAGTAAATACTTAAAAAAAAAAATTAGTAACTTTAGTAAATTGAATTAATTTAGTATTTTTAAAATAAAACCAACATATTCAAAATCCAAGGCTCTAAGCCTTTTAGATTTAGCGACGCGAATTTTTAAACCAGGACTTGTCGATTACTAGTACTTTATACTCTAGTTATAGATATAAGTAAATATTTACATAAATTTGTCATTTTGGTTAATTAAATTAGTTTAGTATTTTTACACTTTAACTAAATCCTTTGGGTATAACATACGCAAATTACAAGGCTTTAAGCCTTTTAGATTCGTCAACACAAATTTTTAAACTCAGACTTGTCGTTTACTAACTAGTAGCTTATACTCTAGTTTTAGATATTAGTGAATATTTACTAAACTTTGTCATTTAAGTAAATTAAATTAGTTCAGTATTTTTAAAATTTAACTAAGGCCTTTATCTATAATATGTCCAAATTTAAAGGCTCTAAGACTTTTAGATTTGGCAACACGAATTTTTGAACACAGACTTGTCGTTTACTAGTACCTTACACTCTATTTTCTTATACTAGTAAATATTTATAAAATTTGTACATTTTAGTAAATCAAATTACTTTAGTATTTTTAAAATTTAACCAAGGCCTTCGCGTATAACATAACCAAATTCCAGAGCTCGAAGCCTTTTAAATTTGGCAACACGAATTTTTAAACTCAGGTTCGTCGTTAACTAGTACTTTATAAATTAGTTTTAGATGTTAGTAAATATTTAGAAAAATTGGTCATTTCAGTAAATTTAGTATTTTGTATTTTTTAGACTTGACAACACGTTTTTTAACTTCCCAAAGAAGAAGTTTGTTTTCATCAAAAAATCCGATTTGCTAATTTTATGTTTTCTAGACGTTTCAAGTCATTCTGAATCGGATGAGACCAAATTTGGAAAAAGTATATGCGTGTGTGTGTGTGTAAACAGATTTTTGCTTTAAATCGACGTTTTATCAAAAACGCCTAAACCTATTTCAAAAATTTAAAAGCGGTTCGATTTATCTCGATGAGGACTATCGTTTGTCAGTTTTGTGCAATGATAGGCCAAGTAGTTTCTTTGTAATTACTAAAAAAGTACTAGATTTTTCGTCCACGTTTTCGCAAAAAATTCATAATCCGATTTTAAAAATTGTTGAAGTAAATTCTGAAAGAAATTAGTCGTAAATCGTCCTGATTAATATTTGGCAAAAATCAGCCACGCCGTTTCTTTGACACAATTTTGTTTCAAAAGATTGACATTTTGGAATATGTAATATATGCAATTAAATTATATAAAAACTAGTTGTGAGTGGTATTTTGTCTCAAGGCAAGTTACATGACATGTGTGAATAATCGACTTAGTCAATAATAAATCAATATATTAATTTTTGAATAATTTATAAGTATTATAAGGATAGCATTTGAATTTTCCAAAAAAACGAGTAGGAATTATTGGAATTACTAAAATATTCACTTCAATTGTAAGCTAGAACGTTTTACTTTTTTGCTACAAAGAAACGGATTGGCCGATCGTCGCGCTAAACTTAAAAACGATAGTTCTCATAGAGATACATCGAATGGCTTTCGAATTTTTGAAATCGATTAAACCGTTTTTGAGAAAACATCAATTAAAGGTGTAATTTCAACCTTTGCAAACTTTGATGAATTGTTAAAACTAAACGATTAGTCGTAGGGTCGTAATATTTAAGTGTAATGTATAAGACTATGATATCTATCTTCAAAAAAAAAAATCATAAAAATCGACGGTTAATTAATTACAAGAAAACGGCCCGGCCGATCTCTACCAAAAACTAATCAGGTCGATTCCCAACCAATATCTTTCGAACGGTTTTTGAATTTTCAAAATCGATTCAGAATTGCGGGCTAAAACGTAGACGAAAAAATTTTCACTTTTTTGCTAATTACAAAGAAACGGATTGGCCGATCATCGCAATAAACTGACAAACGATGGTCCTGTCGTTTTTGAGAAATCGTCGACAAAATGTCGAAAATCGGCTCACACACACGCACGCATATGCACAAACACACACAGGCACTTATACTTTACTTTTTCCATATTCGGTCTCATTCGATTCAGAATGGCTTGAAGCTTCAAGAAAGCATAAAAATAACAAATCGGATTTTTTTATGAAAACAAACTTCTCCTTCGGGAAGTTAATCAATGTAAATAATAACCAAAGCGTTATTGATGCTTTAAAAATTTGGGTTTCTGAATATTTTTATTTCAAATAAACTTCCCGTAGGGTAAGTTATTGTTACCGTCCAAATATCGAAAATGAAATTTTTTGCATATCTTTACGTTTCAGTATTTTCTGAACATTTGATGTATGTGTGTATGTATATGTGCATGTCCGGATACAAATTTTATTTTACAGATTTTGAGATTCAACTGTTTATATAAAAAAATAGTAACACATGGTTGAGGCACGAGCCTTAAAAACTTCAATTTGTAGTAACATGCACACATTTTTATCATACATCCATTTTTTCTAATGTATGCCAAAATATTCAGAAACCTTGGAAACGTAAAAATATATAATAATTTTCATTTTCTATTTTTTTTGCGATTACTACAGCTTACCCTGCGGGAAGTTAATAAAGATCGACATAATAAACAAACATACAATTTTAAATTGTTGGTACCTAATAAAACAATCAATCTAATCAATTGAAAGATTGAGAAAAATCAAAATTAATTTCCCTTCGAGAAGGTAATACTTAAAATTTGTGCAAATAGTAATTTGTGTTATGAAAATTAAATATGTGTTTAAGAACTTACCTTCCATAAAAACTTAGCAATGAATCCCAACAGCTTCAAATTTTCCATCGGCAGTTTTTCTAATATGAGAACTTTCACCCTTTTCGGTCTTTCGTCTTTAGGCCAACCTGGAAAATAAAATATAAGGTACTATTCTACAGATTCTACCTTTACAATCTTACATGAATCTAATAAGAATCGAACAAAACTTAACAAGATTTTTAAATTATAATATTCATATAAGAATTTGAAAAAGAAACTGACAAGAAGCTGACGAAAATCGAAGCTAAAATTCTAATAAAATTCACGTAGATTCCTAACAGGAAGGTTCTAGCTTATTAACTTATCCTATTGAATCTTATTATTCTAACGAATCGAAGAATTTGGCAAAAATAATAAGGAGCCAGTCAGGATATACTATGATCCTGGAAAAAATTCAATGAGATTCCGATAAGAACTTAATAGGTATCTTATGAAACATAAATTATATTACAATATTATACGAACCTAATTATATGTTTCTAATCTTATTACATTCTTACCAAAACACTATTAGGTAAAATTGTAATAAAATTGCGTTCTGATTAGATCATAACATGCCTATAATGTTCTTATTAGATTATTTCCAGAAACATATATTCTGATGAATCATTAATTATTAAATTTGAACAAGATGATTTTTTGTAAGATTTGTATGAACCTCTTAACAGATTACTATTAAATCCCGGTAACAGTATAACAAGATTCTGGTAAGAATTGTAATAAGTTTGAATTTTATAAGATTCTTACCGGAATCTTTTTATCGATGCTAGTAACATATTAGATTCTGTCTGAATTCTTATTAGATTATAACTAAAATCATACAAAACTAGTGGTGTATGGCATCGTGCTTTAAGGCAAATTGCTAGAACTTTCCGTGCCGTAACGAAATATGTTCCAGAAATATTAAATGTTGTCTAATAATTATAAGAATTATATAAAATGAATTGCAAATATAGCATACAAAACCCACACATACACACACACACATAAACCCACATATACACATACACATACATAAATTTTTTCTGAGGTATGCCAGTAAAATGTTCAAAAACCTTCAAGACGTCGAGAAATACAAACAATTTTATTTTCGATTTTCGACCCATTTAAATAACTACCCTACGGGAAATTAATAATAAAAATTTAATTCTGAGTTCTAGAACCCTACTAAATTGTTTCTAGGTTCTAACTCGATTTCAACTGACTTCCAAATTCATTCCGACCTTATTGTAAGTTAATATTTTAGTTGTAACGTATTTCTAAAAGTTGTTAGTAACATATTTCTAAAATTTTGCTCAAATCATGCTAAAATATTAGTAAAGAAAGATTCACTGCTAGTAATTATGTAAACTCTTTAAAATTTAGAATAATGGGCTGCAATTGTAGAAAATACGAGCATAAGTGTCTGTGCACTATAATTAATACAAAAACAGATAGTTTTTCAAATGTGGTTGAAAGAATTCAATTGGAAATTGCAATGTTTAAAATTAATTGAAAGCAAAAACTTTATTATCAAAATAGACAGTAAAAAAATTAATGCACATATCTGGTAGTTATTGCAATTTGCCTTAAGGCAAAATGCTACTTACAACTGTTGTAATAATTTAATAAAAATCTATTGATTAATCAAGAACTTAATTATCATTAAATAATTATACTTACATAAAAATTGTATAATCTCATCGTACAAGTCGAAAGTCAATAGGGGTTCTTCCAGTTCTCGAAGGAATGTTTTAAGCATAACGGCGGCAACATGAGGGTCACCACCAAAACTTATCGTCTCGCCTTTGTTCACCTGATCTTGCAATTCCCTTATCGTCGTTACATTGGCGGAACGTCTGAACAAACCCTCTGTTTCTAAGGCTATAAATTTAATAAATATAAAATAATTATAATCATAAATAAATATAATATAATAATAACTAGTTGGTTTGGTATTTAGCCTTGAGGCAAGTTACATGAATTTCCTTCCCGATATGTGTAATTAATCGACTTAATCAATAAAATATAATTTAATTTATGAGTGATTAGAAGTATTCCGAGTGGATTTATTACACATGATTGAAAACGAACGAACATTTAACACTCGGAGTATTTTCTAAAAGCAAATTTTCAAAAATTACCAGTTTTTATAATTGAACCAGTTTCCATAGGACTTTAATGGTTTACTATATTCATTAAAACCAAGTACTCTATCGTTATACCAAGTAAATCGTCTAATTTTAATTTTAACAAACGTCAAAAAAAAACTACTCATTTTCTTAATTTTTGATTAATTAATCGGCTTAATTTTTTTTTTCAACAGTTAATTACAAGAAAACGGCTCGGTAGATTTTCACCTAAAACTAATCAGTATCATTCCCAACTAATACCTTTCGAACAGTTTTTGATTTTTTAAAATCGATTCGGTAGTTTGAGCTTAAATGTGGACGAAAAGTTTAATACTTTTTTTCAAATTACAAAAAAACGGCTCGGCAGATCGTCTCACAAAACTGACAAATTATAGTTGAGATATAATCAAATTAGACTCGTTGAGATATATCAAATGTCTTTTAAATTTATGAAATCGGTTCAGGCGTTTTTGAGAAAACGTCGATCAAAGGTTTAATTTTGTCAAATGTCAAAGAAACGATACTAATTTTTGCAAACTTTGACGATTTTTCAAAATTAAACGACTTGTAGGGCCGTAATATTTTAGTAGGATCTACAAGACTATGGTATCTACCGTCAAATAAAAAATCATAAAAATCGTGGAATTTTTTTTAAAAAAAAACTTGATTACAAGAAAACGGCCCAGCTGATCTTTACCAAAAATTAATCAGCACGATTCCCAATCAATATCTATCGAACAGTTTTTGAATTTTCAAAATCGATTCAGAATTGCGGGCTAAAACGTGGACGAAAAAAATTTCACTTTTCTGCGATTTACAAAGAAACGGCTCGTCAGATCGTCGCACAAGACTGAGAAACGCTAGTCCGCATCGAGATACATCGAATGGCTTGTAAATTTTTGAAATCGATCCAGCCGTTTTTGAGAAAACGTCAATTTACGGCAAAAAATCTGTTCAAACACACACACATATATACACACACACGCACACACACACACATACTTTTTCCAAATTTGGTCTCATTCGATTCAGAATGGCTTGAAACGTTGAGAAAACATAAAATTAGCGAATCGGATTTTTTGATGAAAACATAAACTTCTCCTTCGGGAAGTGAATAATGTAATAATATAAATAACATAGGATTACATTATTAAATTACATTACTACGTAATTAACTGTATATAGCCGATTGGCGTCTAATAAATAAACTAGTGGGGTGGGTGGCATCGTGCCTTAAGGCAAATTGCTGGAACTTCCCGTACCGTAACGAAATGTTCGAGGAATACTGAATGTTTTCAAATAGATTATTATAAATACAATAACATTGTCTAATATTTATAAGAATTATATAAACTGAATTGCAGAGTTGAAATTATTTATAAAGTATATTAGAACTAATAGTCAGAATTAAAAATAAAATCTGAAATATTTTCGATATACAAAAAACTAAAAAAAAAAAAAAAAGTTGGAACAAAATTTTTTTTCCAAAATCAATTATTTTGTTAAGACAAGCAGAAAGTTCTTTGAATCATTTAAATTGGACGCTTAGTTCTCTCAAAAACTGCCATTTTTTACATATTTAGCTCCGTATCTTCAAAATGGCTGGGCCTGCCTTTGCCAAAAACTAATAAACACTTCTCCCAATCATTACTAATTGAATGTTTTTTAGATGATTCAAATCGGATACTCCGTTCTCTCAAAAATTCGATTTCTATTTTCTGCACTCTTTGCTCCGTATCTCCGAAACGGCTGGACCTGCCTTTGCCAAAAACTAATCAGCTCTTTTCCCTATAAATAGGAATCGAATGTTTTTTGAACCATTCAAATCGGTTGATCCGTGCGCCCTAAAACGTGACTGGAAATTTGTATCCATACATACACACACACACACACATACACACACATACACACACACACACACATCCATTTTTTCTGAGGTATGCCAAAACGTTCAGAAACCTTCAAAACGTCGAGAAATGTAAAAATTTTCAATTCCAATTTTCGGCCCATTACAATAACTTACCCTATGGGAAGTTAATAAATAAATACATATATAATTATTATAGCTACTAGTAAACGATAAGTTTGTGGTTTTATTTATGATCAAAACAAGCAAAAACAAAGTTATTCTCAAAATTTTGATTCACTTGTCGCTTAGTTATAAAACAAATGAAATTTTACCCATGATTCTTCATAGAAACTTTGGTCGGATTGCGGACTGTCTTAAAATTAATATTAAAAGCTAAAACTTTCAAAAAATGTTTTTTTATCAATTTGGAATCATTTGAGTCCTTAGGAGCAAGGAAATTCAAAAATGTCCATAATAAGGACCACCTTAATACACACATGTAAAATATTTAATTATACTTTACCATCAGGTTGTTCCAGAAACTCTATACACTGCCTAACAATCGGCGGAATATCATCTTCGATATCGGGATGATTTTCTTTAATATACTGCAAAGAAACACCAAATTGTTGCGTCGGCAAATGATGACTAACCGCCGATACATTTGCATTGACGCGATCCACTTGAGTATTCGTCACCGTCGTTGCTTTTGGATTTTTTGACAACAATTGGGCATCGAAACTGAGGAAAAAAAAAATACCCAAATTAACCATAAGATAGTAGATATATTATTTTATATCATCGATCTTTTTCCCCTTACTCTAAGATGGTCTGAGGCAGGCTCATCTGTTCCAAGTGCAGCAGGTCGCTGAGTTCGTAAAGGTAATTGACATACATGACTTTCCGGCCGAACTTTTTGCTGATGGCGGGCTTGAAGATTTGCCAAACGATTCGGATAAAGTTGGTCGGGTGCACTAGATATAGGGCCTTCAGGTTCTTCTTGAATTTCCTGTCGAAGGCTTTGTAGGCCTGCCAGAGCCACGTCAAAGGTGGTTTGTTTCTGCTGGTGAGCCTTGGTGGAAGTAGACTAGGGTGTAGTCCTCGTTGACGAAGGCGTCGAGGGTGTGGGTTATGTAACTGGAAAGAAGGAAGAAATGTGTTATGAAGAATTGCATTTTTCCGGCGATCCGGAAAATTAAAACTAGTGGTGAATGGCATCGTGCCTTAAACCAAATTGCTGGAACTTCCCGCACCGTAATTAAATATTCGAGGAATATTAAATGTTTTCAAACAAATTATTTTTTTAAATACTGTAAGTTAATATAATTCATAATGGGCTGTAATTTATATATGTTTACAGAAAATTAAATACACAAAACTTAATCAATCGAATTTAAAATGAAGGACATCGTCTAATATTTATAAGAATTATATAAACTGAATTGCAAAGTTAAAATTAATTATTTTGAGTATATTAGTGAGGTTTAGAACTTCAGCTAGAAAAACAATTAAAATTTGATTTATTTTCGATATTCAAAAAAAAATTTCTTTCGATGCATTTATTGTAGATAACTTTATGCTCTACAATATTGTCTCAAGTAATTTTGCGATAAAACTGACCATTTAGCTAAAAATCGCAAAGGGTCTTTTTTTTAGCTCGCGTCTGATCGATTACTTTTGAGATTTCTTTTATAATTGTATCTTAAATAATTTTGCCAAGTTACAGCCCATTATGAATTATAGTATCTTTCACCATGATTTTAGGTTTAAATTGACCGGGCTATTATTGTAATGAACATACATATATAAGCACAAAATGGGTTTTCTAAAGATTTTTGTTTCTTTCCTTTTCCAACGGAACCGGAACAAACATTAGAAACGGTTTTTGAACCAGTTTTTATCTTTTAGCGTTCCGGTTAAAAAAATATTAGCACAACACCACTGGTTGTAGGGCTAAAATGACATTGGTGTTTTAATGATATTTATTTATTAACTTCCCGTAGGGTAAGTTATAGTAATCGCAAAAAAATCGAAAATGAAAATTTTTATATATCTTTACGTTTCAGAGGTTTCTGAACATTTTGGCGTACCTCAGAACAAATGGTTGAATGTGTGTGTGTGTATTTGTGCGGATATAAATTTTGATCGACCACTTTAGTATCAACCCGGATCAACTGTTTTGAATGGTTCAAAGAACATTCGATTCCTATTGATAGAGAGATGTGCTGATTAGTTTTTGTCAAAGGTGGTTCCACCCGTTTGGGAGATTCTGAACAAAAAGTGTTAAAAACTGCAGTTTTTAAGGAAACAGAGCATCCAATTCGAATGATTCAAGAAACATTTTGCTTACGTTGACAGCGAAGAAACAATTGTGTTTTTGGAAAAATAATAGTTTTTGTATTTGATTTCGAAATTTCTATTTTAATTCCCAAAAAATGTTTTTTTTGTTTCAATATTGAAAATAATTTGGATTTCACTTCAATTCTAGCTAAAGTTTTAAAGCTCACTTATATACTTCAAATAAATATTTTTGATTTTGCAATTCAGTTTATATATTTCTTAAAAATATGAGATAAGGTCCTTCATTCTAACTCCGCTTGATTAGATTTTGTTTATTAACTTCCCGAAGAAGTTTGTTTTCATCAAAAAACCCGAATCGCTAATTTTATCTTTTCTCGACGTTTCAAGACGTTCTGAATCGAATGGGACCGTTAATTGGAAAAAGTGTGTGTGTTTGTGTGTGTGTGAACAGATTTTTTGCCGTAAATCGATGTTTTCTCAAAAACGGCTGGACCGATTTCGAAAATTAAAAGCCATTCAATGTATCTCGTTGATGACTATTGTTTGTCAGTTTTGTGCAACGATCAGCCAAGCCTTTTTTTGTAAATAGCAAAAAGTGTAAAATCTTCCGTCGACGTTTTAGCCAAAAATTCTGAATCGATTTTGTAATTCAAAACCCGTTCGAAAGATATTGGTTGAGAATGATACAAATTAGTTTTTGGTAAAGATCGGCCGAGCAGTTTCTTCGCAATTAACTATTAGTGAAAAAAAAAATGTCGATAAAACTTTATGTTGATAGATATCACGGCCCTGAAGAACATATTAAAATGTTACGGTTCTACGACAAATTATAATTTTAAAAATTCACCAAAGTTTGGAAAAATATCATAGTCAAAATTTGTGTCAAAAGTGGCTTTTGTATTGTGATAAGTCAAAATTTGAAATTCGTCAAATAAGAAGAAAATAAAAGGTCTCTACTGACAAGCAAAATAAATTATAGATGTATCAGAAGACATCAGAAGATAAAAAAGTAATTCTACTCACGAGCACATTTGAAAAAAGATATAAAAGCGACTCTACTGACGATCAATATGAATAAATTAAGACATGAAAAGATGAAAAAGAAACTGGAAAAGAAAGAAAATATAAAACTACAAATATAAATCTACTGTCGTTTTGAAAAATTAATTAATTATAGATATGAAGAGATGTAAAGAGACTCTACTGACGAGCAAAATAAATAATAAGTATGCAAATAAAAATTTAAAAAAATTTATATAAGAACGACTACTGGAGAGCATACTAAAATTTAAGACATAAAAAAATTAAAAAGGGACTTTACTGACGAGTAGGCCTGAAAAAAAATGTAAAATGGACTCTACTGATAAGCCAAATTATTTATAAATATGAGGAGATAAAAAGTAACTCTACTGACAATCATATTTCAAAAAAGATATAACTAGTGGTGTATGGCATTGTGCGTTAAAGCAAACTGCTGGAACTTCGAGTACCGTAACAAAATGTTCGAGGAATATTAAATGTTTTCAAATAGATTATTATTTAATATTTATTTATAAGAATTCTAATATTTATTTATAAGAATTATATAAACTGAATTGAAATTAAAATCAGAATTACTTTCGATATACAAAAAAAAAATTAAATTTTGACATTTTTTTTTCCAAAAGCAATTATTTTGCTAAAACAAGCAGTAAGTTTTTTGAATCATTCAAATCGGATGCTCTGTTCTCTCAAAACTCGATTTCTATTTCGACCTGCCTTTGCCCAAAACTAATCAGCACGTCTTCCTATTAATGGGAATCGAATGTTTTTTGAACCATTCAAATCGGTTGATCCGTGCGCCCGAAAACGTGGATGAAAAATTGTATCCATACAAACATATACGCACACATCCATTTTTTCTGAGATATGCCAAATGTTCAGAAACCTTCAAAACGTGAAGATATGCAAAAATTTTCATTTTCGATTTACGGCTCGTTATTATAACTTACTCTACGGGAAGTTAAAAAATGTTTATTATTATCACTTACTCTAAAAGAAGTTGTAAATTAAGAACTTCCTTAGCAGGCAGTCTGCAGGCGTAGACAACTATAGTTTTGCGTCCAGCCGTGTCATCACCAACGACTTCGATGACTCCATAATTTGCAATTTCCTCAAAACGTTTTGGTCTCTTCCGATATATTTGTTTCCTCCTCTTGATTATTTATATAAGGCAAGCTGTCGTCTGTTTCTGTAACCTGGGGTAATAGAAATATGATTTCTTAGTTAAAAGAATAATTGTAAGGAAACTAGTTCTCCAGATAAAATAATTATGTTGCATTGATAGTCACGAACACAATATCAACTTTTGAAACGTAACCTCCAAATGGCACAAATTTCATTAACATTAGTGAAGTTGAACTAATGTTAACGTTCTGAGGTTTGTGCCATTTGGAGGTTAGGTTTTAGAAGTTGATATTTTGTTCTTGACTACCTACTCATGCGATTATTCGACCAAAGAACATAACATAACTATTTTTTCAGTCGTCGTCTTTCATTTTGAAAGTTTAAAAATTACAAATATTTACCTGTGGTATCATTTCTTCGAAATTTTCTTCTATTGTTCCGTCGCTCATGGGACTTTCTAAGTAATCACGCTTCCACTATTTGTACTCAGAGGGGCAATGTAATCGATAATACCTAGAAAAATAGTTGCATTTAATTATTATTAATAATAATAAAATTAAACTAGTTATAAATGGCATTTTGCCTAAAGACAAGTTGCATAAACTCCCCATAATCAACTTAATCAATGATAATCAAGAAATTCATATTTTTCTTCCACGTACTTTTCTCTAAAAAGTGTGCAGTATACTAAATTCCATACAAATATTGTATTTCTTCAGACATCTCGCGTAGTAAGTACGATGAAATCTCGTTATGGAATGTAGTATAGTGCAGAACGAACTCGAGTACTATACCTGTTTCCATACAAAATTGAAATTTTCAAAGACATTCTGCATGGTGTGCGTGCGGAAATCTTTGTTCGGAAACTAGTATAGTTGCATTTGCGTTGTGTTAAAAATGTTCAGACACTTTATCGAATAAAAAGAATTAGGTGTAAGTGGCATTTTGCCTTAAGCCAACTTTCCGATATGTGTAAATAATTAATAAAAATTGAGATTTAGCGATTTAGATAGAAGTTACTAGAGGTTTCTGAAAATTTTGGCATACATTAGAAAAAATTGATATATGCGTGTGTGTGGGTGTGTGTATGTTTGAATACAATTTTTGGCGGTCTAAAATGATCATTAGACATATGCACTTCAAATTATCAGATATTTTATAAGGATTTTAAACATGAGAACTAATTTTGTTACATTTTTTTTTTGCGTTCCGTACCAAGATTTTTAAAGTTCACTTATACAGTTCAAATAAATTTCAAAATTTACAAATTTACAAATATACATATACATATAAATATACCTGTAATTCTAAATTTGAATTCTAAATTTTTATTTCAGTTTAAAATTGTATATATTTCATATGTGGTATTCTAATCGTAAGAAATATATCCTCAGATGAATTTATGCGGCACCTCTTGCTAAGATAAACTTTCTCAAGTGCTTTGAGCGATAAGATCGTCACTGTATAATATATGAACGAATGAATATATATAGTAATTTTAATTATCTATTTAAAAATGTTTAAAACAATGGTTATTAATCATTGATCAATATTTATTTATTACTGATTTTTTTCCTTCAAAGATTTAATTCTGGTACGGGAAGTTCCAGCAATTTGTCTTAAGACACGATGCCATGCACTAGTTTAAATCATTAAATAATATTGAGGGCTACGTGCATGATATACGCAGTAGAAAATTTTATCTGAATATCCAAAAATCAATTTTGCTTGATTAAGTCAATTATAACACCTAACGCAATTTGCCTTAAGGCTAGATGCCACTTTCAACTAGTTTATTTAAAGCCATCATATTGAAATACTAATGCTACAGAGGCTTATGTAAATAAAATCATTTACTTTTCCACTGCCCGTAGGATAATGTATAATTTATACACTTATATCAATTGCCATCTGTTGCATTTATCAGTATATATTAATATTAAAAAAATATTTTACTTTGAATAATTTTATTTAGCTAATTAAAGTCTACTGAAAAAATAAACTTGGTATGATTGTGTTTGAAATAAAATAACTCATATGTTCATAGATACTGCAAAAAGCTATTACATAATTAGTAAAATATCTTATTTTCTAATCATATATTAATTTTAAGTAATTTATTAAATAGTTTAACAATGTCCAGTATATTTATAGTATAAATTAACAAGAAAGCTTTGGCGGAAGACTCGCGTCTAGTGGACTTCTATATTTTTTGACTAATTAAATTAATTATTATTAATTATTATATTCACCTGCATCGACTCCTGTAGGATGTTGCAATTCAGTATCATCGAATTCTAAGTTTGGTTCATAGTCGTGGAAATCCGATAGGCTCGGATATGCATCCTCGGGGTCTCCATGAATGGCTAAAAAAAAAAATTAATTTTATTATTAAATCGCAAAGATACAATACATTATAATGATTACAATACAAGATAATAAGACTTTTAATCAACACCCTTGAATAATTAAGTTGTAATTGTGTATATTCAAATTTTGACTGAGCGCTATTCAGTTACTTTTCAAATTCTTTAAACAAAATAAAAATTACTTAAAGTTCTTTGAACTAAGGGTCTATTTAATCGACTAAAATTGTATTTCCCAACCTGTAATCACCAGTCAATTACCACTAGAATCCCATTGGGTTTTCATTAGATTCTAACTAATTAATAGATTCTCAGCCGAATATGACGAGAATCACATTAGATCTTAACTAAATTCTTATTAGGCTTATTGTTTCTTCCGTCGGAATTTCCAGAATCTTTACATGTTCTTATTATATTTTAACTAATTCTTACTTATAACATTTATTATAAACTGAAATTGTCAAGAATTATTTATACTTTATTTGTTCAGGATTTTTTTTTTGTAAAGTACTTGTACTAATTTAACCATGATTTAAAAACGTAAGTAAATTTATTATGACCTAAAAAAACTAAAAAAAATATTTTCGTCGTCCTGCTGCCAATAATTTTTATTTGTTTGGAAAAAAATTTAAAATAGTACAAAAGAGCACTATTGATAAATTAATAATAAGAAGGATTTGTCATTCTGTGCAATTCAAATATTATAATTAAAATTTATTTTTTTTTATCTAAATCGGCTATAATTTATATAATTCACTTTCCATGACCGTAACAAATTTTATACACCAATTGTAAAAGATAAAATTTTAATTTCATACACATAATAACAAATCGTAAATTCTCTTAAATCATAATAAATAATTCGCAATCTAAATTGATAATCGTTTGGCCATCAATTTGTAAATAAAACCAATAATTAATTAGGAAAATATCAATTCAAATACATAGCAAAAACAATCACGTTTAATAAACATCCGGCAAGAAATATTTTAGTATTAAAACTAATTTTAGATTTATCCATAAAAAAAAAATTATAATAAAAGTTCATTATTTATCTTAATATTGGCATATGTGAAACAGAAGCAGAATATTTTATCTTTCGATAAGAAAGAACTATTAAAAGTTATCGATAAGTGAATAAAGCATCTATAACACCTAGCCTTACTTTAAACCTATAACACCTAGCCTTACTTTACATCACCCACTATAATTTTGAATCATTTTGAAAAAAAATACATCCATATCTTGAATACTGTAATACAGTAATGTTCTGTTTAACACGAATTAAATTTAATACCTGTATCAATTTTTAACTAAAATAAAACCTAACATTCATTTTGTAAAAACTAAAAATACTATAAATGATTATACTTATAAGAAAGAAAAAAACCTAATTAAGTCACATCATGCAATCAATTCTGCGTTTCCAGTTTCTCTATATTTTTGTTAAAAAGAAAATAAAATTCAAATTAAGAATCATCCAACCCATTTCAGATTTTCAAATTTATGCCTTTTTGCTACAAAGATACTTGATTCAGTTTACATTTATCTTCAGTGTTAATAAGCGGATAAAGGGTCTGTAACACCTAGCCTTACTTTACATCACCCGCTATAACTTTAAATCAATTTGAAAACATTGGGTCACAATTAAACACATAGTGTTCAAAAACCTATTTAGTGAAAATTCTTAATGCTTCACAGTCATCATTAAAAGACTCGGTTCAGATTTTGTAAACTACGTGTACTTCTTTGACATGAACTTCGTATAAACCCAAAAGTTTTGCTCAACTAATTATTTCAACCAGCCATATTTAAAAACAACTTAACCTGAAAGAAGAGCACTAAACCAAAATAAAGTACCATTAAAGTAGGTATTATTTTACTATCCACTTTCATCGAGAACCAGAATTGAAAGCCACAAAGGTGTGGGAGTACATCTAAAACCTGTATTCATAAAAACTAAATCTTATGTCTATTCTTACCTTGAAATTGTCTGACAGGACTCGGTTTGCCTTGTAGTTTAGGATCCATATTCAACACTTAAATAAATAAAAACCAACAAAAAATAAAGTTATATTACTACTGTGCACCTTATCCCCATACCACCAGCCTGTGACATCTCCCAATCCAATGCGTTTGTGTTTTCTTTAATTTTTTCCTCGTATCGTAATTATTTATAAATTAGTCACATACCAAGAATTCACGAAAATAAACATATTAATTTCTCTTATCTCGAAACTCCGCCTTGGAGCAGCTTAACAGATAATCTTTCAACAAACGTCAGATTGCGGATTGATGTGTAATATTTTTTAGATGGTAAAGGGTAAAGGATAGTTTGTTTATTTGTTTAAAATCGTTTTGTGACTGTGTGATTTATAATAGACATTTTTTATATTAATGTATGTTAATGTTAAAATATTATTGTCGCAATGACAACACTAGCAGCCGAGCTGTCATTTGTAATGCAAGCCACTTCACTGCGTTGAGATGAGATAAAGGTGGTGACACACAGTGGGTTTTTGGAAGTGAAAGACATTTTGTTTATTTAAAATCAAATATATAACTTTAATTTGTAAATCTTTTACAATAGCCTTTTTTATTGATTGGGGTATAGAAAATAAATATTATACAAAAAAAACCTAACTTGTTTATTATTAATATATGGTAATTATAAATAAAAGCATACATCAAATGGTTCTTATTGTTACAGTTTGTGTACTACGAATAGTTCAAATTGCTTATATAAATTTGTTATATAACTGAAAATTGTAACTAGTGGTGTATGGCATCGAGCCTTAAGGCACATTACTGAAACTTTTCGTACCGTAAATACAATTAATGTTAATAAAATATTTTAATTTTACATTAATTATAATATTTATTAACTTTCCTTAGGGTAAGTTATAGTAATCGCATAAAAATCAAAAATAAAAATTTCTGCATATATTTACGTTTCACATTAAAAAAAATGAATGTAAGTGCGGATAACATTTTTCTTAGACGATTTCGGGCGCACAAAACAACCGAATTAAATGATTTAAAAAACATTCGATTCCTACTGATAAAAAAGACGTGCTGAGTAGTTTTTGGCAAAGGCAGGTCCAGCAGTTACGGAGATAAAGAGCAAAGAGTGCTCTTTCTTCTCTCAAAAATCGAGTTTTTGAGAGAACGGAGCATCCGATTTGAATGATCTAAAAAACATTCAATTTTTAATGATTAGTAGAAAAGGTGATTAGTTTTTGGCAAAGGCAGGTCCAGCCATTTCGAAGGTACAGAGCTAAATGTGCAAAAAATGGCAGTTTTCGAATGAACTAAGCGTCAGATTGGAATGATATAAAAAACTTTCTGCTCGTATTTACAAAACAGTTGCTTTTCAGGATAAAAAATGATTACATCTTTTTTTATATTCCATAAAATATTTTTGTAATTTTGGATTAAAAATTCAAAAAATTACCCAGGCTAAGCACAGTCTAAGCGCCACTCTGGTACAAATGTTTACCCAAGTGCGTTTAGACTGTTTATGCACTGGAGCACTTTTTCAATTTTGTGAAAACACAACTATTGAAAAATGGGAAAATACCGCCAAGCTAAGCACAGTATAAGTGAAAATGTCGCACAGAATTATTTGCAATTGCGTTTAGCCTGTGACTATACCGGAGCACTTTTTCAATTTTGTGTAAATTAGAGAGGCTTTTTTTTTGAAATTGAATTCGAAATAAAATGACGATTGTTAATGTTCGGGATATGAATTGATTTATGATTTACATTTGAATTGCTCAGATATAACAAGATAAGATAGCAAAAATAATGAAAGTTACTGAAAGTATTTGTAATAATATATTTGAAAACGTTTAAAATTTCTCGAATATTTCATTACGGTACGGGAAGTTCCAGCAATTTGCCTTGAGGCACGATACCATACAACACTAGTTAATATTAAAATTTAACATTAGATTCACGTTACAATATCCACCATTTTGAATTTGGTTCGAAACAAAGCTAACCTCACCTTACCCACCACTGTGTGTCACTCCTCTATCCTCGTTCTAAACTTCAAGTCTATTTTTGTGGTTAGGATTCACATTTGACACTTCAATTTCACTCACTCACTCACAATCTGTATTATTATTAAAAAATGGTAGCGTGGAGTTGTTTGTCCCGTTTGGGCACAACTGGTGCCCGTCAAATCACCAAAATAGGCAACAAACCAACCACAGGAATCAACCGTAAATATAAACTTTACTTTACCTCAATTCATCCAATTATTATGTAATATATATATTATTATTATTGTAACTTTGTCAGTGGTGCTGTGCAGGAATTCCGGTGACCATGGACACAAGACGATGACAATCACTGCTTCCAGGTGGCAATGGCACAAGTTCAAGGATCTATTGCATTACTATACACTTCTCGGGCTGATTCCAGTGTTGTCACTTGTCTTTTGCGTTAATGTGTTTGTGGGGCCTGCAACGCTTACTGAAATACCTGAGGGATATGAACCTAAACATTGGGAATATCACAGGGTAATGATAAAAGAAATAAATTGTTATTGCAGGATCGAAGACATTTTTTTACGTGGTTTATGGGATTTGAAATTTTACCTAACCTTACTTGACCATTCGTTGCTGTGGTAAATGTAAATATAAATCTAGTAATCTATAAATATATAGTGAATGTATAAGTAATATGTAAGTACATCTAGCTATCAAGATGAAAAATAGTGCTCAAGTCAGTCGTGTTTGATTGCTGAGCTGTATTAGATGCATCACCGACTAAAATATCCCATTCAGCATCCCAATATATAAAATTATAATCGTATAAACAGTAATTATAGTGTAAATTTAATGTTCAGAAAATTTTTCATTTATTGCCTGATTATAAAAATGTGTTTATTTGCTATTTTTCTAAAATATTCCATGGGATAATGTCTCATTTTTAACTAGTTGGTTTGGTATTTAGCCTTGAGGCAAGTTACATGAACTTCCCGATATGTGTAAATAATCGACTTAATCAAAAAAATGTGTAAATAATATACTTCATTAATCCTACTTTAAAAAAAACGATAATAATTTTAGCAAAGTTTGACGAATTTTTAAGATTAAACTACTTGTCGTAAGGCCGCAATATTACAGTAAGTTCTATAAGACCATGATGTATATCGCCAAAAAAATTTCCATGAAAATCGGCTTAAATTTTTTATCAACAGGTAATTACAAGAAAACGGCTCGGTAGATTTTCACCTAAAATTAATCAGTACCATTCCCAACTAATATCTTTCGAACAGTTTTTGATTTTTTAAAATCGGTTCGGTAGGATGAGCTTAAATGTGGACGAAAAGTTCAACACTTTTTTTCAAATTACAAAGAAACGGCTTGTCAGATCGTTGCACAAAACTGACAAACGATAGTCCTCACCAAAATACATCAAATGGCTTTTAAATTTCTAAAATCGGTTCAGGCGTTTTTGAGAAAACGTCGATCAAAAGTCTAATTTTGACAAATGCCAAAAAGACCATACTGATTTTTACAAACTTTGACGAATTTTTAAAGCTGAACCAGTTGTCGTAGGGCCGTAATATTTTAGTATGATCTAGAAGACTATGGTATCTACCGTCAAAAAAATAATCATAAAAATCGTCGAAATTTTTTTTTTTTAAACTTTATTACAAGAAAACGGCCCGGCCGATCTCTACCAAAAACTAATCAGCACGATTCCCAACCAATATCTTTCGAACGGTTTTTGAATTTTCAAAATCGATTCAGAATTGCGGGCTAAAACGTAGACGAAAAAATTTTCACTTTTCTGCCATTTATAAAGAAACGACTTGGCCGATCGTCGCACAAAACTGACAAACAATAGTTCTCGTCGAGATACGTCGAATGGCTTTTCAATCTTTGAAATCGACCCAGCCGTTTTCGAGAAAACGTCGATTCACGGCAAAAAATCTGTTCACATACACACACACACACACACACACATACACACACATACTTTTTCCAAATTTGGTCTCATTCGATTCAGAATGGCTTGAAACGTCGAGAAAACATAAAATTAGCGAATCGGACTTTTTGATGAAAACATAAACTTCTCCTTCGGAAAGTTAATAAATACATCTAGCTAACAAGATGGAAAATATAGCATTCGTATCTTTCGGAATTGATTGTTGAGCTGTATTAGATGCATCATCGAGTGAAATATCACATTCAGCATCCTGATATTTATATATCGGAATGCTGATGCTAACTGTGAAATTTTATCATTATAATTATTATTATAAAATAATAATCATAAGTGGTAACTATAGTGTAAATATGTACAGAAATTTTCACAGTTACTGCCTAAATTTAGAAATATGTTCATATGATATTTTTCTAAAAAATTCCATGGGATAATGTCTCATTTTTAATTAAAATATATTTTGCAAAATAAAAATTTTAAGAGCACTTTTTTACAAAGATTATTTAACAGGAGGTTCCAGTAATTATGCTTAAGGCATGATGCCATACACCACTAGTTTTGTGCTGTTTTATGAAATTTTGTCTAATTTTTTACCATGTAAATTGAGTCACAATCCAAACAATCATTTTTCCACGTCTTTTCTGAAACGTTTAATTTTAAAAGAAGTTTTTATTTTTGTAAAAGTAGTGTTAGTAATTGTACTGAATTTGTTAACTAGTCGGAGTCCTGGTTTACAAAATATTTTTTTTAAGAAAATAAAGAATATATAGAACTTCTGTAACACAATATTAACTGTCCTGTTAAAAAAGGTCTAAATTTAATTTGACTATTTAAGTTACTTTTATTCTAATGATTAATTAATATTCATACAAATCAATTCGTACATAGTGTATTTAATTGTAATACTAAATGCCTATTTAGGACTTAAAATAATTATAATTAAGTATACTTTTATTATTTCAGCATCCCATTTCGAGATTCCTAGCTCGATACGTGTACGGACCCCATCAGCAGGATTACGAAAAATTCTTGCATGTCTTGTATGAGGAAAACGAGAAGAAACAACTAAGGTAACGAACGAAAATTATATATATATATATATATATATATATATATATATATATATCATGAAAAACAAAATTAAACTTACTCACAGAGTCCTTGATGGCAGTCGTTGTATGTGAGCTTTCCTTTGAGGAACAATTACTGATGGTTTTTCAGGAGAAATTGATATCCATAGATACTTCTTAGGAACACACTTTTGCCACTACCACTGTCACGATAGATTAAAAAAATATGACTTTCGTTATTCGAATATTTCAATTGAACAGTCACTGTCTTCATGTTCTTCAATGCAAATCGTAAATCATCACTAGAGTCTTCTCATTCTATTCCTTTACTTCAGGGTCCTCCTTTATAGATAAAAGTATAAATAGATCGCAAACACTGTTACTTCAATTTTAATTGTTTCCACACTCCATAGAGGCGCCACTGACTGTAGCACGTAAATTTACCCTTAGGTTTAATTCTAGATAATATTTATATAAAGACTAGCAAACCCGACGAACTCCGTTTCGCCACCAGATGGTTTCGTGAGAAAGAAGAAATTTTTTGTTTGTTTTATATTTGAAAAGGAAAAATTAGATTTTATTATACAACAGTAACGAATTTATTTTGATTACAAAAATGAAGTGTTTTTTAGTTGAACTTCTCTAAGTAAATAAAAGTGAATCCGCAAATTATCCGTTTCATTCAAGTGTTCTTTGGTAAACCACATTTTTTGTTTTTTGGGCTGACTTTAACACAAACTAAGCGGATGGTTTTCCAACTCGTGAATAGGCAACGTATAACTGTCCATGTAAAAATCAATGATTTTCTAAATAATCTATTTGAAATTTATCCCGCAAACACTAAGCGATTGGCCTTGCGACTTGTTATTGCGAACGCAAGGTGAACTGGAAATTGCAATCGTTTGAAGTCAAACGGAAGACCAGTCGGAATCATTGGTATGTCACAAAATTGCCAGCAATTTTTAATTGAATGGTGAAATTCAGTGCGTGTACATCATTATTCTTTGCGGCAAGAATTGCTCGTTGACTTAACCAAGCATAATTCTGATAATTCTCACTAACGTCATTACTCGAATTTTTAATTACGGTGCGTGAAGTTCCAGCAATTTGCATTGAGGCACGATGCCATGCACCACTAATTTTCTTAGCTATAAACCTAGCGGAGCCCGAGACCTTTCCAACGAATGCAAAATTGTCGAAATCGATTCGTGCGTTCTGGAGTTATATCGTCAGGAAGGAAATCCCGACTTATTTTTATATATATGTAGATAATATAGAAAAGATGAATCTGATGAATGAACAAAATTGTCAAAACAATATTGTCCAGTTTATATAAGTTTTTTATTTATTTTTTCAGGGCTCTGACCGAAAAGATCGAAGATAAAATGGCCGAAAGACAAGACTACTACAGTTTTTACTACCGCCCCGTCACCGCCAAACATTTGCGCATATCTAAAGAGTATGCTGACAAAGTCAAGGAATTGGAAGATGAATATTAATTATAATATAGTAACAATCGAAAACTGTATATAAATGTAGGAAATACATATTTAGAATTAATAAAATATATTCGTGTTTTATTAACTACCCCAAAACAGTGACATTCGTGTTTTATTAACTTCGCGAAGGATAAGTTTATGTTTTCAATAAAAAAAATCCCATTTGCTAATATTATGTTTCCTGAACGTTTCAAGTAATTCTGAATCAAATGAGACCAACAATTCGAACTAAAGTATGTGTGTGTAGGACAGATTTTTGTCTTTTTGTCGACGTTTTCTCAAAAACGGCTGAACTGATTTCAAAAACTGTTCGAAAGATACTGATTAGTTTTTGGTTGTTTTTCGTAAATATCCGCTGGCACGTGTTCTTGTTATATAGATTTTAAAAAAATGGTCTGACGATATTTATGTATTTTTTGGCAATAGATATGGACTTATATATAGAACATTCTAAAATATTACGACCCTACGAAAGACAAGTCCTTAAATTTTAAAAATTCATCACTTTGAAAAAATAATCAGTTTTCTTGACGTTCATTAAAATTACATCTTTCATCAACGTTTTCTCAAAAAATGCTCAAACTATGGAAATATAAATATATATAAAAGCCATTCAATGTATTTCGATAACGGACTGTCGTTTGTCAGTTTTGCGTGATGATCGGCCAAGCCGTTTCTTTATATGGAGCAGAAAAGTAAAATTTTAGCCGAATTTTAGCTGAATCTATTTTAAAAATTCAAAAACTGTTTGAAAGATATAGGTTAAAAATGATATAGATTAGTTTTTGGTGAAAATTCGCACATATTCTTGTATAAAACGATAGTCTTGTTTCTGACGATAGATACCATAGTCTTATAGATCGTACTAAAACATTACGGCCCCACGACAAGTGGTTTAATTTAAAGTTTGATAATATGATAGTCAAAATTTAATTATAGATATTATAAATATGTTTCAGAGACATCAAGTGGAAATCGCAATGTTTTGAATTAATTGAAAGCAAAAGCTTAATTTTTTAAATAAACAGATGAAAATGCTATCTAAATATCTAATTCTCAATTTCGGTTAAGTCAATTATTATTACACCTATCGGGAAGTTCATGCAACTTGCCTTAAGGCAAAATGACACTTTGAACTAGTTTATTTATTTAATAATAAATTTATTAAGTTTCATAAGTAAATACTCTATATAATGTTTACAGTAGCTTTATAAAAACAAGATTTTGTCGTACGAGTCGAAGGATAAAATATTAAATTAATACTATCTCAATTTTTAATTGCACAACATAATTAATAAACGAGAAAACTTTTGTAATAGACTTAATGACCAATGTTAACATAAAATGGCACTAAAAACTGTCAAAATGCTATGTGGCTGCTGTTAATAAAATCTAACTTCAATCATATCAGAAAAGTGCACTTTTGATAACATCGTTTTTTTTTGGCAACAATAAGAAATTGACAGTTTTTAGTACCATTTTATATGAAAAATGGAGAAAACATAGCTTTGCTATAGCATTGGTCTATTTTGCGGCCAGTTAAGTTCATCATTTGCTCTTAAAAATGGCAGTTGTACTCACGACAAGTTTAATATTATTCATTAATGAATAATAAGTGTGGAAATAAAATGTACGACTCGAGAGATACTCTTTGGATAATAATGAAAGGTTTGTTTTTAACAAAAATACTCAAATTGTTCTACGATCACACGAAAAGGCTCGAGGTGAAGGATAAATTTTATTAGAAGTACAAATTTAATTTTGGTCAAGTTTGTTCTATAAATCAATTTTGTATACATCGAATGGTTTAAGATTAAAAAAAATTTTAAAGAAATATTTTTTTATACGTTTCATTATTTGATATTTTTCATCATTCATCAAATGTAAATTACAGTACATAATTTGTTTCAAACAATGAATAAAAGTTTTAAAAAATATTAAAACATTTTAAAATTTATTAAGTAAACTATACAAACCAGGATTTGAAAACAAGGTTATTTTAAATTGTAAAAATTTTAGAATTTTGTTTTTATTAAGTTTTATTGTATTTTAGTTTTTTAGTGGTTTGGTATGTATATTTTTACTTAATACATAAATTCTGGAAATAATATTAATTAAAAACTAAGGCAAAAACTTTACTGACGAGTGAATTCAAATTGTGAAAAACATTAATAAAAAAAATCAAAATTTTGTCTCTATAAAAGGACTTGACTAACAAGCAAATCGAACCTCGAGTTTGAGAAAAATGCAATTAATAATATATTAAAAATAAAAAGGACTCTACTGGCGAGGAAATTGAAATTTTGAAAAATATTAGTCCAAAAATGCCAAATTTCTTCATAATATTTTTCATTCTCAAAATTAAGTTAAGGCTAAAAGGACTATACTGAAGAGAAAATTAAATTATGAAAAAAATTAATAAAAAAAATCAATTTTATGCCAGTAAATATGAAAGCAAAATGGACTCTACTGACGAGCAAATCAATTTGAGAAAAACGATATTAATAAAAAAAAGGACTCTACTGACGAGCAAATCGAATTTTTGACAAATATTAATCGAAACAATGTTCAAAAACAAATTCATGTTTTCTATTTAAATTTTAAAGTATACCGAAAGGTTATATACAATTTATATTTGCTTGTCAGTAGAGTCCTTTTTTCTTCTAACATTTTTTAATATTTCTATAGAATTTTATTTGCTCGTCAGAATAGTGTCACTTATATTGAATATGAAAAGATCTTCATAACATGGCATTGCCATAACATTGATCTGTTATGCGGCAAAATCGGTCCAAAAATCTTTCAAAAATAGAAATTAGGATTTTTATAAAATAAACAAACTTAGTACCACTGGCACCATTAAAAACTAATATGATAGCATTTTCCAGTTCAAGGTTTGACCAAAAACTAAAACTTTCATCATCTCTAACCTCGTGTGACCCTAGTCAATTTCCTTCAACATACCATAAATCCATTTTTCTTCAATTATTTTAATATTCTCTTAATAATAATAATAGTCATCAGTTTCGTTGAAATCATAGATATGGCTTATTTTCGTATAATTAATAATATAGTACCACTTGGTTTGTTTGTTTCCTTCACCATCATCAATCAACCATTTATACACAATGTAGTTTAAAATTTATTTATTTTATTTATTTATTTATTGAATTTTATCTATAATTCCAACAGTTATATTGCTTAGTCTTATATATTATTATAACTACGTTTTTCTTTAAATTGTATTTATGGGAGTGCGATTGTGTGCTCATCAAGGTAAAGGAAATTTTCAATAATTTGTCTACACATACCAGAAATTGTAATTTATATATATATATATATATATATATATCAGTATCATAAACGTACTTAGTTCCGAAAGGTCAACAAAAAAAAACATTTAAAAAAAACAATTGTTTATTTTAGTTTTAGATTCCTGTTTCGAAGCACAACATATATATATATATATATATATATATATATATAAACATATACATATACATATACATATATACGTACAGCAAGTGTCAACGTTTCGGAACAAAATACCTTCCAACACCAAATTTTTTAAATATCCTTGACTTAAAAATAAATATTAATTTAAAAAAAAACATTTATTTTTATTTGAAATAAATATTCAGAATTAATATTAAAAAAGTGAGATACATATTATCAATTCTTCATTTATACGTTTCGACCACAATACGTGTCATCATTCAATAGCTATAAAATTATTACAAAATATGCAATAATAAAATAAATATACATATTTGAATTTTGTTTTAAATATTTCTTTTTCTCTGTTCATTTAGCAAATATGGAAGGCTGAATGATGACACATATTAAGTGTCAAAACGTATAAATAAATTGTTCTTTTATTTTATTTTTAATTCGACGAATCATGAACATATTGATGTTATGATTTTACTTTTCTGAACTAAAAGCCTCTATATTTTTCAAAAGAAAAAAACAAATCAAGACACATTTGAATGAAATGTCTCCTTAAACAGGAAATGTTTGAATCAAATACGCATTTTACACACATTTTTAATTATTTCAAAAATAAAAAAATACTTTTTTATTGGATGAAGTATTATTAGTGTTATAAAATGTGAATTCATGTTCTCTGATTGAGAAAAACCCTATTGATAAAATATTAAAGAAAATTAATATATAGGACTCTACCGACGAGCAAATTAAAAATGTGCGAAATACTAATAAAAAAGTTAATAAAAATTGTATTTTTTTTTATTAAATTGTTGGTAAGAAATCAGAAATCAAATCTAGTATTACCCTTATAAAATACAAATTTTATATTGTCTGACTCACTTGTTTTTAATCAGCCTAGAAAAGTAGAATTTAAAGTTTTTCACATAATATTTTTTTTAAGAAAAACAGAGGCTTTTAAGTGTCAAATATTATGCAACATCTTTAAGACTTAAACTTTTAATCAAAAGTATGTGTAAACATAAAAATAATTAATTATTTCATTTACTTAAATATTTATCTTATATCTTTATGAACACAAATAACACTCCAACTGCATTAATAATTTTGTGTACAGAACTTTTCTTTAATAAAAAGCCAACATATTTTATTTATATATATATATATATATATATATATGATATTCAGTTTTCAGGGCAATACATCAATTAAAAAAATTTGTATGACTTTAAAACAATTTTATTTTTTCCATACGTTTCGACACATTGTTTTGTGTCATCTTCAGTGGACTCTAGATTGAAAGAACAGATAGAAATTATTAAATAAAACTAAAATATAAGAAGTGATATGGTATGAACTTACATGTAATTGAATTAATCCTAATTATTGCATATTATAAATGTTCACAATGCACAATCCTAATTATATCATATTATAAATGTTCACAATGCAACAACAAACAATCCATGTCATTTTAAATTGAACAATATATAAATTTTTGAATGAGATTTTTTATGAATTTGTAAAGTAAAATCACGCCGTACATTTCTGTGCTCCGATGTAAGGCCGACGACTGAATGTACGTCAATGTGCGCACCACGTGTTGAGGGTTAGGTACAAA